AAGTTCTTAGCAATGCATATTACTAATCAAAAATTAAGTTGATACATTTATGGTAGGAAATTTACTAAATATCTTCATGGAACATGATCTTTACTTAATATCCTAATGATTTTTGGCATAAAAGAAAAATCGATTATGTTGACCCATACAATTTATTTTTGGCTATTGCTACAAATATCCCCCAGCGACTTAACACCGCTTTTGTGCTTCAGGGTCACAAATGTTCTGATAGAAATGTAAAAGTTACTACTGGCTGACAATCTGAAATCTTCCCCTCTTCCATGGTTATATCGCATACAAATATATAAACTTGAGAAAAACATTTTTTATCACCTTTGCATTGTGCACTCTGAGTTAATTGGCCGGTTGAAGAGCAAATATTTAATAATATAAGCCTGAACCACCATCTGAATAGCACAGGCTCCTCCCTGCAAGAGAACAGAAAGAGAAACACTGTTTAGGCTCACATTTGTCATGCATTTTTCTCAAAAATTCCACATGACAATTTCCTTTAACTGTAATTGCCATTTCATAATGCAGGACTTCCATGTTAATGATGAAACACAACAAATATGAATATGATTAATCCAAAAGCTATAATTAAAACAATGTGTGCCAGAATGTTTTGTGTATTTAAAGGGACTGTTCATTAAATCAGAGACTTAAATTTAAACTTTTTTTTTGTTTTTTTTTGCTAGAACTAACATGGAACTGTTTTTTAACATTGTTTATAATAAGAAATATGTCTGGAGTACCAAACCAGCATATTAGAATGTGTCACTGAAGACACTATAACCCAGGGGTGCCCAAACTCGGTTTAGCTCCAACTTGCCTCAACACACCTGCCGGGAAGTTTCTAGTATGCCTAGTAAGAGCTTGATTAGCTGGTTCAGGTGTGTCTAATTGGGATTGTAGCTAAACTCTGCAGGACACCGGCCCTCCAGGACCGAGTTTGGACAGTTCTTCTATAACCAATCATTTTGGTTACTACTGTAACCTCTGTTCTCTGATGGAGTGACGCTAGGGGTTGCAATTGGGAACCTCAAACACCTTCAGAAAACACCGGTGAGAACTTGCCAGGTGGTATTTGCATGCCACTCATCCATACATACGGGTATAAAAGATGACGCCGTGCTCCAGTCATTTAGGTTTGTGCTGAGGAGCCGAGACAGTGTCCCAGTCTTTTCAGTGGGTTGTTCTGTGTTGTGAAAAGAGGGACACCAAGTCTGGTTCCCTCCATCAGGGAACAGAGGTTACAATAGTAACCAAGATGTTCCCCATCTGTCGCTCACTTGACATTGTGTCAACTTAGTGACACTAGGGGTCACTCCCTATACTAAATGTCACATCCAGCTGAACTGTGTTATGAGGTTTGGTGAAGCAGATGCAGGCATGCTGCTGTGTGCCCAATATTAGACTACGACATAACCTTCCCAATGCCCAAGTAAGCTGCCATTGTTCCCTGGTTCCATAAAGAACCTTTAACAACCTTTAACATAAAAAAAGCTGCTTTGTGGCGAAAGAAGGTTCTTCAGATTATAAAAAGGTAAGAAAGAGATGGTTCTTTAAAGAACCTTTGACTGAATGCTTCTTTGTGGAACCACAAATGGTTCTTCTATGGCATCGCTGTGAAGAATCTATTAAGTACCTTTATTTTTAAGAGTGTAATGCCTACACATTTGTTGTAGTGTAATGCATTACTGAGTGTAATGCATATTTGCTTAGCCGCCTTAAAGCGTACCAATGATCTGTGGTAAAGAAAACGGCCAGCATTTCAAGCTCATTATGCAATAATGAGGTGGCGGGTAGTGATGCAATGTTCAGACAATGGTGTCGGGCTAATCAATCTGAAGTCATGGCTTCTCCATGAAAAAGACGCACAAGAAGTGATCTACTAAAGCGTGTAACACAATCCTTCTTCACTTATATAGCTTGCAGTTCTGGCAAAGGGGAAGTAACTTTATTAATGTGATCAAACATAAGGTCAACTGTCTCAAGTTTCTGCTTTACTAGAAGTATTTTTCCAATTCCTCTAAAAGCAGGCATTTTAAGAACTGTTAAATCTGTTAAAGTGTCAAATAAGAATGCTATAACAAGTCAAATTGATTCGATTTAAGGTCATTCACTCCAAAAATAAAAAGTTATTACGACATGCCATACAATACAACAATTGATACAACAATATATCCTCATGTTATGTGCAAGGTCCTGTATATTAGTGCAAATTTATCACAATCAACATTCTTTTTACCATTTCCATTATAAGAACTCCAATTCCATTTCATGATGTATTGTATTTAGTTTACCTTTGACATTTGTTTAGATACACATTCCCTTCACTTATGCATAAACAAGAAAGTTGCACATTTGTCTCTTCATTAAGTAATCTAAATGAAAATAAAATTCATGTTTAATGTTTTAGAAAATGTTACAAATATCCAATTTTCAAGGGGTTATAGCCAAAACTATGACGATGGCTGTTAATGAGAAGTTTTCTTATACTCACCACCCTCTCAGTCTCCAGAGCATATGGCATGTCAGAAAAAGGCTCCCGAAACTTGAAGAATGATTTCTTCCACTCATAGTTGAATATATGGAACGTGTTCCCAAATAAAATATTTCTTAAACTCTGTATGAGGGACAAAGCAAAATACAATATGTCAAAATAATAATAAAAAAACAAAATTGTTGTTTACAATAAAAATCAACACCCGGATCAAGCTAACACCACTGAAATGTAGGTTTGCAATCGTATTATTTTATCATTATATTTAACTTTTTTCCTCTACAACATTCTGGTGGATTTTTTCACCCATTTAGTGGAATTAGCCTCAGTTATGACTAGACTAACCAGATCTATTGCTTACAGTTCTAATAAATAAATGATGAGTCAATATCCTGTCTTTTGTCTCCGGGGCACACATATACACACACAGCTCAAGTCTGTTATGAGACACATGGGAAGCATGAGAGCAGAGGGTCAAGTGACAGGGTCATGTTCCACAACTCACCACCGCCAGCTCTGGTGACAGCGGTTGCCCACCCAGACTCGGAGACACTGTGAGGGTTCGAGGAATGGAGTGGGGCGATGTGAACTGCTCGTTCTGTGCTCCAATGTGATGGGCCGAGGTGGCAGGTCTAGAGGACTCGTCACTGTCCTCTTCAGATTTGATCTTCTCACTAGGTCTCTATACAAGTGATAAAGTGAAAATGTGCAGTTGTTACAGTACACCTTCTACCTTGTCTTACCATTAAATTACTTTCATTATATAAATCACAAAACATATTTTTTTAGGTTGTCTGACAAATCCCAGCAGGCACACAACGTCATAAGACGTTGATATTTGGTTATATTTCGGTTGCGACGTCGGGTGACCAAAATTCAATGTAAATTCAACTTCTAATGTCAATGTTAATTTGATGTCCAATACCGACATCAGCTGACATTGTGTAACCAAAATCCAATGTTAAGTCAACATCAAATTGACGTCAAATATTGACGTCAACCCGATTTTCATTTTCAACCAAAATGCAACGTCTGTCTGATGTCATGTCCAACGTCTACCTGACGTTACATAGACGTCCGGTGCCTGCTGGGATCACTGCACATAGGATCTTGGTTTATTTTTATTTTTTTAAGTATTTGTTTGTTTGTTTGCAACTGACCAAAATTGGTCAGAAGTTTTGAATAATTAAGAAATTATAATGCTTATTAAAAAAACCTCTTATGCTCACCAAGGCTGCATTCATTTGACAACAATATAGTAAAAAATATTAATAGCGTTAAAGAATGTTAAATTCAAAATAACTGATTTCTGTTTTAATATATTTTAAAATGTTACATTTAAAATCTGTTAAAAAAAAATGAAAAATTTTGATCAAAACACTTTTGATCAAAATTATATTATATTTTATATATAAAAATTATTCATTTCATTTTAATCCATCCATCAATCAATAAATCTTACAATTACAAAAATATTAAGCAGAAAAAAAATCCTTTGCCATCACAGAAATAAATTGCATTTTAAAATATATTAAGACAGAAATCGGTTCTTTTACATTTGTATTTTTACTGTATTTTTGATCAAATAAATGTAGCATAAGTGAGCAAAAGTGACTAGAAAAATAAGAAAAAATTATTAAATAAACAAAACCTTAATTGCTCTTAATTATTCCAAACTTTTGACCGGAAGTGTACAGTATGTAGAGGTCATATCACAATTTTTGTTTCAATTTATATTTACACATTTGAAGGTGAGGCCTACACAGATGTGGAGTAACAAGGTTTTTCAATAAACTGCTTAAAATCTCACTTTTATCCAATGCTAATCAACTTTTATTTTTGATGATCAAAATATTCCTAGATCTAATATTTTGTTACATTTTCGAACATAACGTATAAATATTACTTATACATTTATATTCTGTCTATTTCTAACATCTCCTTATAACTCTTCAAACAACAGAAATCCCAAAAGCACTGTTTCTAATCTTATTAAGATGCCAGGTTTGAGATGAATGAGCCATCATCAGTAGATTACTCACATTTTGGTTTCTCTTCACCTCCTCTTGAAGAAGCTCTATGTAGCTCAGCCTGGATCCCTGCAAACTCTTGATGGTTTGCAGAAGGTCCTGATAAGCCGTCATGATGGCTTTTACATGCACTCTACTACTGCATGTATATTCGCTTTCACACATGGCATTGTGTGGATATGCCTAGTAAACTGCCTTAGAGGTAAGGTGGTAGCAAACATACACCTCTCCTCCAGTCTGAGATACTGAGTTTGTTGAGAGGATTGCAGCCACGCAGGCACACGCATACTCTCATCTGATTGGCTGACTGCGTGTCATGGGAGAAATGACATACAGCTACCTGAGAGCACAGGGTCTGAAGTATCAATTATCAAAATATCAGACTTAACCACATAAGAATGGCATAAGCACATGGGATGTTATATTTACGTTCGCACCATTTAAGATCAAAAATATTGACTATAAGCCTCCAAAAGTATTCCAATGTTATATAAATTCATTCACAAAACAGACTTAAGTATCAGCACATCAGAATATAGCACAGAGTTTGTATATTACTTTTATTTTAAGTTTTCATTTTGAGTCTTGAGTAACCATTAATTAAAGGGATACTCCACCCCAAAATGAAAATTTTGACATGTCAGATCGAGATCTGATCGATCACATGTCACTCTCTGCATCACTGTAGCGCCATTTTGGAGAATAACCACTGAACGCAAGCAGCGTACACTATTCTGTGTCAGACGCTACACAAGGATACGTTTTCTACGTGTATTTACGCTTTTTTTAACGAAAACAGCGCGACCGTGCAGCATGGCTGACACAGAAGAGCGTACGCTGCTTGCGTTCAGTGATTATTCGCCAAAATGGCGCTACGGTGATGCGGAGAGACGAATTGTTGAATAAAGTCGTTATTTTTGTTTTCTTCATGTACAAAAAGTATTCTCGTCGCTTCATAATGTTACGGTTGAACCACTGATGGCAGATGGACTATTCTGACGATGTCTTTCATACTTTTCTGGACCTTGTCAGTGTAAGTTACTTGGCAGTCAATGGGACAGTCACAAGCCTCCCGGTTTTCATCCAAAATATCTTAAATTGTGTTCCGAAGACGAACGAAGATTTTAGAGGTTTGGAACGACACGGGGGTAAGTGATTAATGACAAAATTTTCATTTTGGGGTGGAGTATCCCTTTAACCTTCTGGTATTGTTCAGTCATTTTTGACTGAAAAATTTAACGTTTTGCTTTTTTTAGAATTTTTTTTCTACATCGGATTGGTACGAAACGTGGTAAGGGTTCTGGCACTTCGTATGTGAAAAAAATAAATCATGGACATGATTCGAAAAGGTCTGAAAAAAAAAAACACTTGTCACACCGAAATTACCTGGAACAATTTGTCCCAGGAACTTTTTTTCCCGCAGACCTGATGCTGTCTGCGTTTCCATCGCAGTCTAAAGTACCGTGAAGATTAGGCAAATAGTCTGGTGACGTAGGTCTGCGCGCATTTCTCAATACCAAGTGCGCAAATTTCATTTATATAATACTGTATATTTTCTATTTCTTTTTTGTAGTTTATATTTGTTCAGTACCTTTATATTATATGTTGGAAACATATAAGTACACATGAAGTGTTCCATTTGGGACAAGGACAGGGACTTTCTGAGGGGTACACTTTTACTAAACTTTATTTAGATCCTGGTTCCTGCGTGGAAACACACCGAGTACCGGCCGAAAGTCCTTAGTTCCTGGGGAAAGTTCCTGCGGTGGAAAAGGGCTTTTGTACTTGAATTTGAAAGGAATGGGAAGTGAATTTCATGTGGTAGAAATGTTTACAGCACTCAAACTAATTTTTGAGATAAGGTCATTTTTTAGATATCAACCTCAAATTTGGAACACAACTTGTTTTTGTAATTATATCTGATTTTCTCAGTTTTAGAGTAAACCATGTTTTGGAAAAAAAAATTTAATAGTATTTTTGTGCGTTTTTAATAATAATAAGCCTAAAATTCAACATAGTTTTTAAAAGAAAATTTTCATTTCAGCAATAATCTAGCAAGTGTCTTTTTCAAGAGACCATAAAATATCATAGAATACCCCTAAATATGCAACATATTAAAAAAAACCATTAACAAACTAAAATACATAACTAAAATATAGAACTATAGAAATATAGATTCATGTTTTGAATCATACCCATTGGGAACGATGTGAAAGGGAATAAATGATGAACATTTTGTCATTTTGAGTTAAACTTACGGTGGCCGAGAAGTGCAAAGCAAATCCCAATTCTGAAAACAAAATAACAAATTACAAATGCAAATGCAAGTCTAAAAAACTAAATAACAATTCAGAAAGCACAACAACAATTCAGAAAACACAATGACAAATTCAAAAACAAAATAAGTCAGAAAGCACAACGACAAATCAGACAAACTGGAAAAGGTAGGTATAGTTTGAGACAGCGCCATTGGTTTGGGATTACTCACCGCTGACTGGACGAGACATCTGCCAATCAAAAAATATGGAGTGTCTATTTACATTTAGTTAAAAGTGGCTGCAAACCATCAGCTCCAGTGGTGCAGATGGATAAGCACTAGAATTTGGCATTTTGATGTGATCGACCCGGGTCCGATCCCACCTTTTGCCGAACTTTTTTTTCTCCCTTTTCAAATCTCGTATCACATCGTAAAGGCATTTATTTTCAATAAAAATTAAGGAAATAATCAAAAAGTTGAAAAAGTATCGGGTAGGCTTAGGGTTGGTGTAGGGAGGGCTTTATTGTACCAATAAGGTGGCATCCATTTAATAATTAAAATTATAATTTACACTCAATATGTTATTATTGCATACTGTTTTATAATGTACTACAATACTGAAGTGCAGATAATTACCACTATTTGCAACAAGTAGTATACTTGATAGAAGAAATCCTGCTATTTTAACAGTGTAAATAGGTATTTGCACTTAGTGTAAATAGCATATTGCTAAAAATACTGCTATTTTCACTTAGTGTAAATAGAATCCATTGCTAATACGAGATTTGAAAAGGGAGAAAAAAAAAGTTAGGCAAAAGGTGGGATCGAACCTGTGTCAGTCACGTCAAAATGCCAAGGGGAAGCGCTTATCCATCTGCGCCGCTGGAGCTGATGTTTTATGACCACTTTGAACTAAATGTAAATAGACACCCCGTATTTTTTTATCCATAGTAAGGGCAATTCATACAATACATTTAAACTGAGCTACTTTAAATCAATCTCCGAACTTTCTACCACGACTCTGCTGTTCTTCGGCTGGTTCTTCTCTGTATACGTTGCTTGGCAGATGTCTCGTCCAGTCAGCGGTGAGTAATCCCAAACCAATGGCGCTGTCTCAAACTATACCTACCTCTTCCGTTTTGTCTGATTTGTCGTTGTGTTTTCGGACTTATTTTGTTTTCGAATTTGTAATTGTGTTTTCTGACTTGTTATAATGTTTTTTGAATTGTTGTTGTGCTTTCTGAATTGTTATTTTGTTTTTTAGACTTGCAATTTGCGTTTGTAATTTGTTTATTTTGTTTTCAGAATTGTGATTTGCTTTGCACTTCACGGCCACCGTATAAACTAGTACATTTTTGCTTTAAAACACAGCGCCTGTGAACGCATCCTGGGTATATGTCTAAATTAGAAATAGAAAACATTTAGCAATCCAAAAATAAATAAATAAATAAATAAATACAAAAATAAATAAATAAATACTACTAAGACTTACTTTAACGTAGCCCTGTGGTAATTCCAACCTGAAAGGTAAAAACAGGTGAGTAAACATGGAGGGTCGTTGGGCAGCAGAAGACAGCAGACAGTGTGCGTGCGAGCGTGCGTACCCGTGGGAGTTAAATATCTCTCTCCATTTACCCAGTTCCACGATCTGCTGGAGGATTTCATCTATTTCACTGCTCGCCTCCACATCAGTGTCCATCTGCAGGTGACAGGAAACATCACACCAGTGTTTAGTTCCAGGCCCAACTTTCCTGCCTCGTGTTCCGCAGGATTCCAGGTGAAAGAGTCTCACAGCTCCCTCAGGAACACAAAATAAAAGAATATAGGCTACAAGTGAGACAAGCGCCTTGTTGCTTAGGCTGCATGCAGACAGGACGCGTTCAAGCGTACAATTTCTTTGAGCGTTGCGTTTTTTGAACACGAGAGCGCGTCCTGTGTGAGCGCGTTATTATTGTGCACATTAGTGGAACCATACTGTAAGCCTACATTTATGCACTCTTAAAACAACCTGTCTTATATCTTAACACACCTGTGTGTCATGTTAAGGACAACACATTTTGTGTTAATTTGAACTCAACCAGTGTGTCATTCTTCTTAACACATGTTGATATTCTTCAAATATTTAAACAGTGCACCTTTAAGAATAGCACATCTATGACACAAATTGTGTGATTTAGGACACATTAGTGTGTTAAAAACAACACAACCTGTGTTATAACTTAACACACATGTGTGTCAGTTAATATCTTGTGGAGTGACGTAGGCAGCAATGTGATTGGATGATAGTTAACACATTGTGTTGGACACACTGTGTTATTTCTCTCTCTTTCTCTCTCTCGCTCGCTCTCTCACTCTCTTTCTTTTTACACATGATCAACTTAAAATTACACAAAATGTGCTAAAATGGCCATAACACAAAAAATGTGTTATTAATGAACACATCCTTTTTGACAGTGGAATATAGTAGTAGTTTTAAACATTAGACTCTAAAAAATGCTGGGTTAAATACAACCCAGTGCTGGGTAAAATAGGGACAAACCCAGCAATTGGGTTGTTTTGACCCAGCGGTTGGGTTACTACCCAGAAAGTTGAACATGTAACCCAACCGCTTGGTCAAAACAACCCAATTGCTGGGTTTGTCCCTATTTTACCCAGCACTGGGATGTATTTAACCCAGCATTTTTTAGAGTGTAGTCTCTCACACACGCTATTCTCAATGAGTACAGTATTATACACAACTGTACTACGGCAACAAATAATTTGACATAAGAGGATTTTTTTATGTATGTATGTATGTATGTATTTAGTTAGTTAATTGGTTAGTGATTGATTGATGTTGACTACATTATAATGACGATTAGTGAAATCCAAACTAAAATTGTAGCTTGAAGATGTACAAGCTTCATTTAGTCATATAACATTAATTTGTCAAGCGTTATAAAATGCCATAAGTAATATAAAATTAAGTCAATTTCAAAATAATTAAATTATTAGCAATTTAATTGAATAGTTTGGGCTCTGTTGTTAAATGTAACCTTTAAAATTACAGTAATGTGCAAGTAATCGCATTCTCTATATAGTTACCGGCATTAACAGAACTAGAATTTTTATCCTTAAGAAATGTTTTATTAGAAGCAACTTGATTCATTTTTTTCCCTCCTGCTTTACTGAAAATGTATATATAGAGCAAGTGTATAAAATGTAGAAGTTCACAAAGCTTAGTCTTTACAAAATCATCCACTTGCTCTTTGGTTGCGGCTCCATCTACTGATGCATTGTTGACACTGATGCGTCTTCTGCTTGTCAAGGTTTTCAACATAAGCTGCATAACAGATTTCAATAGCAAAAGCAGAAGTAGAAGCAAAAGCACATGCATTTGGAATGCATGCCAAATGATGCATATCAAATATGATCAAAATGCAAATGCTGACATATGATGAACACACTTTCTGGTTAACCAGCAATCGAGAAAAACATGACTGCATGCCTCTATTTGGTTTTGTGCACCGGAAATAAAGTGGTGATGTGTGCAAAAACTGAGCGGTCATGTTTTAGCTTTCTCACGGAATATAATAGCAAACTGAAAAAAAAAGGACAATAGTGATACTGATACTGAAAACTTGGAATATTTGTAAGGCAACAGATTATGAAGATTGCTTTAAGACTAATTCTGAAATCTTCATGACTGAAGGTACTCGTCAGCCAATTCAACTGAATTCAACTTTCAAAATAACTTTGAAAAGAAAGTTGAGCTGTTAATTCTGTATTGCTTTAATTCAAATATACTTGATTATTTATTTTTCACAGACTCTGAATCACTTTTAAATTGAGTCAACCTAAATCTGTGTCACACAACCCCAAAAAGAAAAGCCATACCTTATCTCTTCTTCAGAGATGTGTATCAGACTGCGGTTCAGGATAAAGTCCTTTAAACTCTGACAAAAGTTCAAACCTCAGTGTGAACCAGGTCACCAAGACATGGCTTATATACCAGACACTTTCTATTCAGGAGGCAGACAGACACATGGCTGCACAACATGACAGAGAGCCTCCTTTCATTTTACAGTTTCCTGGCAGCAGGTGGAGTATGTTTCTTTTCTGTTGGTCTGAATTCAGCGCTAACAAAAGCAGTGCTCTTTCATGATGTCTTGAGTGATGAGAGCTGCTTTTCTCTTCTTTCACAGCATTGTTCCTGGATGCATAAAACCTCCCAAACATATTTATAAATGTACATAAAATGTTCGTAAATGTACAAACTTTATACTATACTGTACTATGTTGTCTGTTGCATTATAAAGAAAGCGAAACTAGAATAGCTCATATGATTTTATTCGGAGTAAAAGCACAGAATTCATATTGACCAGAAAAGCTGCAGTCCAATAACAATCATGAAAAACATGATTGTCAGCATGCATACAGCACATCATTGTGTACTTTTATATATATATATATTTGTATTTTTGGCCCCTTTCATTCTTATTACTTTTTACACTCATTTTTAATTATTATAATTAATCCACTTTAATTTAATTCTCAGTTTGAAATAGCATTTAAGAACATTTCAGTGTTTACATACCAAACACTGATTTATTAAACATCACATTATATTGTGAATAAGTGCACATTGGCACAACGCGAGTGTCTAAACACACAGGAGACAAAATAAGAAGAATTTATGAAATATGCAAATACAATAAAATTATACAATATCAGTTAAACGTGGAAAAGTTAATGAGAACAAAGTGATAAATCAATATGAATTGTTTCATCTGTCTGGTATTCTAAAGCCACGGTTATAGTTGGATGCATATCAATTAGATGCAACATCATTTTATTATATTAATAATTTTTATGCATTTACATGCATGTTTTATTTAAATATCTAGGCATATATAAAAACATAAATTCGAAGTACTTCAAACTAAAAAAATGAGATTTTTAAAATATATATTTTATTGAATCTCATTTTAAGTAATGCAACATGTTTTATTAATGGTTTTAGCTATTTTTGCTGCATTTAATTGGGGAGTTGTAGTGAATTAATAAAGTCAAACAAACTTATTTTGGTGCACTGTTCTGTTAAAAATGTGCCTGTACTATTTTGTAAAACAAATGGTGCTTGGTTTGCCATGTTGTTATGTAATGCAAAGACATTCATGCATATTTAAGTGTGGCTTAAGTGTCCAAACAGTTTCTGGGGTCACTGTAGAATTGTCAATCGCATCCCTTTCTGATTATAAAAGATCCGCAACCAAAGGAAACTGTCACGTCCCCAGCCAGACTGGAAACTACAGGGTGTTTTCATCAGCCGTTTGAAATCGTGAGCGTTGATTGTCTGAGTGATTGACAGAATGAATGCCTCCCCGCTGCGAGATAAGACACCAAGCATCTCCAAGTTCATCAATGGCTTAAGAGGCTCAGATGTGTTCAGCTGTAAACAAAACGGATGCCGCTCTTCGGAAGACTCCTATTGAGAAGTGCTGGTCGCTGCGGTAGGATGTCGTGTGCAGGGGAGGAAGTAGAACAAAAGAGCTGGTCAGTACATGAGATCCGCCGCTCCTGTGCTCGCATCAGACTCTTTGGCCTCCTGAAAGGGGAACTGGATCCCGGCCAGGCGGATGAGCAAGATGTTGAGGCTGTGCATGAGGAAGGTGAGGAAGACGAGCCAGAAGGATCTGTCGTACCTCTCGTTTTGCATCTTGTAGACGAAGCTGGCCTCGTTGAAGTTGAAGATGATCTCGGTCAGGTGGTGCAGCTTCACCTCCGAGGAGAACAGGATGAGGACCATGCAGGCGCACAAACCTGACAGGAAATAGAATGATAGATAAAAGCATAAACAAAAACTCTTCTGAAGGAGATGAAAATGCTGTCATTATTTTCATGTTTTTGATATGCAGTGAAAGTCAATGGTCTTCAAAACAACACTGGGCCCTTACTGACTTTCTCACTTAATACAGGTTTGTAATGAGTTAGACCAAATGACTCGTATTTGGTTGGACTATTGAACTATTAACTCCCTTTAAACAAGAAAAGCCTCAGAGCAACCATTGTTTGAGTTTAGCTGTATTCTTGACACTTAGGTTTTTACCACATCCCTTCACTATAAAGGAGCTTTCTTTACCTTGCCATTTAAAAATGCATTTTATCTTGGGAAGTATAAGTGATACTTTAAATCTATTTAGCTTTTTAGGGCCTTCAAATTCAGCCCTAAATAAAAGTCTGTCTGCCCTTTTTTATGCAGTCTCCAAAAGCGCTAAAAAGTACCATAAAAAGGGCAGTGAGCAATATATATATACTACTATTCAGAAGTTTGAGGCAAATTTTTTAAGACTCAAATGAATACTTTTATTCAGTAAGAATTCAATAAATTGATCAAAAGTGACAGTAAAGTCTTACGTTGTTACAAAAAAAAAATAGTATTTTGAATAAATGCAGTTCTTTTGAACTTTCTATTCATCTCTTTGATCCTGAAATAATAGGTATCATGGTTTCCAAGAAATAAAAAAAAGCACAGCTGTTTTCAACAACGTGATAATAATAATCGGAAATGTTTCTTGAGCGGCAAATTGGCATATTGTAATGATGCTGAAAATCCAGCACTGATCACATAAAAATAATTACATATTAAAATATATATTTTAAAATATATTCAAAAACAGGTAGAGGTATTTTTAACTATGATAATATTTCACGATATTACTATTTTGACTGTATTTTTGATCACATAATTAGATTTGCTATATATTATATATAGTTATTTTATTTACTAAATTATTATTATTATGATTTCATTTTTAATGAATGATTTGGACTGGATACACAAGAAATGTACTTTAAATCAACTTTCGCTCAGAAATTGCTAGTACATTTCACAAATAATTACAGAGAAACAGCAATTATCATACTGAATTAAACATTATATTTTGAAGTAGAAAGACTGAAATGGTATTTTATGCAAATTGGCATATTGTAATGATGCTGAAAATCCAGCACTGATCACATAAATAAATTACATATTAAAATATATATTTTAAAATATATTCAAAAACAGGTAGAGGTATTTTTAACTATGATAATATTTCACGATATTACTATTTTGACTGTATTTTTGATCACATAAATGCAGCCGTGTGGACAGGTCAAATGCTCTATTAGAGTGCCATCAGTACACACACAACAGAGGCACCTGACACTAGAGATGCAGTGGAAATCTGGCCAGTTCCACCAAGCGCATTCATTTCCATCACTTTATTTATTTATCATCCAATTCTCTCTTCTCAGTATAGCTGAGATCACTCTCTCACTACTTACAGAGAGATATTAACAATTGCAGAGGCTCGTTTTTACCGTGCTTTAGAAAAGAGCCTGTCTAAATGGATGTATGCATGAAATATTTATAACATACTGTCTTCAGGATTTTCTCTCAAGATTCAAGAATTCAAGCTGCTATTTATTGACCTGGTAAAAGCTCTACTTTGACATAACATTAACAGTGATTATCTTTATTTGTGTTAATGCTTGAAATATGTATTATTTTATCACACACACACACACACACACACACACACACACACATATTATATATAGTTATTTTATTTACTAAATTATTATTATTATGATTTCATTTTGAATGAATGATTTGGACTGGATACACTGAAAGAAATGTACTTTAAATCAACTTTCGCTCAGAAATTGCTAGTACATTTCACAAATAATTACAGAGAAACAGCAATTATCATACTGAATTAAACATTATATTTTGAAGTAGAAAGACTGAAATGGTATTTTATTTTTTTTTATAATTTTTTTTTAATTAAGAATTTGGTTTATTTATTAAGTAAGAATTCATTAAATTGATCAAAACTGACAATAAAAAAACCAAAAAAAAAAGTTTTTGAATTAATTCTGTTCTTTTGAACTTTCCATTCATCTATTTGAAAAAAAAAAATTGTTACAGTGTAGTAAAGGAAATCTGGCATGTACATGTGGTAATTTTTTTAATGTTTTTTTACAAAGTATCCTAAAATGAACTTCATGGAGTTGGTTTAAAGAATGTACTAAGCGAGAATAATTTAGTTTTGATTGGTTTGATGATAATTTGATGAGTGTAATCATAGTAGTAATAACGAACACAATGTAAAAAATATTTTTCAAAGTAGTAAATAGGACAAAGACATAATTTAATGTTCCTTCTAATATTATATCTAAAATGTACTACAAATTTCTGAGTGAAAAAAAAGAGAGAGAGAGAGAGAGAGAGAGAGTGTGCGTGTGTGTGCATGTGCGTGTGTGTCTGTGTGTGTGTGTGTGTGAGTGTGTGTGTGCGTGTGCGTGCATGTGAGTGTGTGTGTGACAGAGAGAGTGTGTGTGTGTGCATGTGCGTGTGTGTCTGTGTGTGTGCGTGTGTGAGTGTGTGTGTGCATGTGAGAGATAGAGTGTGTGTGTGCGTGCGTGCGTGTGTGTGTGTGTGTGTGAGGGTGTGTGTGCGTGTGTGTGTGTGTGTCTGTGTGCGTGCGTGTGTGCGCGTGTGAGAGAGAGAGTGTGAGTGTGTGCATGTGTGTCTGTGTGTGTGTGTGTGCGTGCATGTGAGTGTGTGTGTGTGAGTGTGTGTGCGCGTGTGTGCATGTGCGTGTGTGTGTGTGTGTGTGAGCAAAGTCTTACAGCTTATCATGTTCCAGAGGTAAAGGCCCTGGGGTCCATGCAGTGTCTCATATGGGCTTCCGAAAGCATTGTAAAAGAAGAAAGCACAGGACACTGAGGAGAAGACGATGAGCACCGCGCAGAAGAAGATCACGCTCACATGGAGACTGGCCGGACCCACGTCCATCAGGTCAGGGAAAACTACACAGAATAAAGAGGTTTCTAACATGATCTCCATCGTTTGAGTCCTAACTTAGGATTGGTGTATTTGAATCAGCTTTTAATTTGTCATCAACGTCTTCAAGCTATTGTGAGTGACTATGTTTGATTTTAACTTTGGCCCTTATCTCCGAATAATTTTGAGGATAAGATTTCAGTATAGTATGTATGAAAATTGATTTTACTGATCATATCTGTCCACAATTTGCATGCATCTCACAGTGAGTAAAAACAAATTTACGATGACAGTATTCTTTTGTTCTGCTAAAAGTCTGGCTCTCGAATCTGGGGCTTTTCCAGATCTCATTAGGAAAGAATGAATCATTGTACATGAAGCTGTCATGAAAGATCAATCTGAGACCCATTCAAAACTCCATCAACGAGATGAGTCCCTCCCAAAACTCGAGACAAAACAACTGAAAAAGTCAAATCTGATAAACTCAACAATGAGTCGGATGTCTCTTGAAACAGCCCCTTAGACTCTTTTAAATCTGTTAAATCTATAGTCAGAAGGGGGTTTACTTGCTATGCGTGAAAGACGAAGGGACATTTTTCTAAAGCAAAAGATTGATGATGACTTAAAAAATTAGATGTGTTTGTGAAGGTCATTTTGAAATAGTTTGTTACACATCAGTGGACTCAAAATGTATTTGGACCTTTAAAGGGTATTGAATTGACAATTCTGTCATCATTGTCGTTCCAAACCTGTATATCTTTCTTTCTTTCATAGAACACAAAGGAGAAACTTTGACTAACTTTTTCCAAGCATTTACAAAAGCTTTTAATGCTTCATAAAGGATGCAAAATCAGTATAAAAATATCATGGAATTAGTCCATATGACTCATGCACTATGCCATATAATAACATTAAGGATCAATATTCAAAAAAAGTCATTGCATTAGATACAAAATAACAAAGCACACGTGGTACCTGCAAAGGAATGATGCAAGAGCTTTTCTGATCACTAACTTTTAGTTAGTTTTTGCAGTGACCTTTAACCAACTGCTTTCAAAGTGATTTGAAGTCACTTCCCTTCAAGTTCACACATGTGCTCAGTACATTAACTGATAGGTTTCACTATTTGATTAGGATCCACAAAGATCACAATACTGTCTTAATTTTGTACAGCTTATCTATTGTTTTATGACTTAAAATAAATTTGTTAATTGTTATGATTGTTATTTATTGTAATGCAACAAGGGTAGGCCTACTATTTAAGTGCTCAAGTGTCCAAACACTTGTAAAGAAGCTGTATATGCACATGTACTACAGTATTACCGTTTTCTTATATTGCATTTCTGTGTGGTCTAAATTTCTGGTGTGCTTTTAAACACTTGTACTGTTCTTTTCTTGAAGGCATAGCTCACCCAAAAATGAAAATTCTGTCATGGTTTTTTATTCACCCTCAGCTTATTCCAAACCTGTGAATTTCTTTCTTCACTGACAGAAAAAAAGTATAGAAATGGTACCTTTAGGGGTGCAACATTTTGTCACTATAAGGGACACCTTTTGTACCTTCTTTACCCCTAAAGTGCAAAAAAAAAGAAGATATTTAGATGAATGTTGGTAACCAAACAGTTGCTGGTAGCCATTGACTTCCATAGCAGGGGAAACAATACTGTGGACGTCAATGGTTAGCCTGTAGCAGCTGTTTGGTTCCCAACATTCCTCTAAATATCTTCTTTTATGTTCAGCAGAAGAAATAAACTCATACAGGTTTGGAACAGCATGAGGGTGAATAAATGGTGACAACGTTTTCATTTTTGGTTGCACTGTCTTAACCCATTTAATCCTACCGGTCACAATAGTGACCGTTAAAAAAAGAGGTTTTCATTTATAAAGCTCTAAAAAAAATTACTGACTGATGTTTCAGTGCACTTCCTGCGAATATGGATTAAATAAATAAATAAAGGGTCTCAATTAAATATGTGCAGTTTCACATGGTTAGTGCAAATTGTCACATGACCAGAGCATTGTATTTCCTGTCTGCACCTTGAAAAGATGATGGCTGCATCAAAGCTCCAAAAACGAACAGCTAACATAAAGATATGACAAATATTTTTGGTACACATTATCTTTAGGGTGTCTAGTATTAATATATGAATTCACATATATTCAGTTTTGTTGCATGTGCATGGTCATAGAATGAGTAAACATCTTGATGGTCACAGTAGTTGAATTTAGGTATACAATCTAAATCCAATTGCAGTTGTTGAAAATTGCACTAAATTGTTGCAATGACAAAGTATTGCACTAAATTAAAAGTTTAAATGTGACAAATAATTTACAATATCGATGTGGTACTGGTAGCACTAATGCACAAAAAAGTTAAAATGTTGAAATATGCTGATGGTTGTATTTTTTGTCTTTTATCTCAGCATTTTTTAATAAGGGTTTTTTATGTATAATAGTAACCCTAGAATGTGATCAAACAGTTTAAAGATATATAATATTTTTTTTTATGACTGCAGAAATATGTTAATTCAGTAGCCTACCCACATTATCCCACCGGTCACAATTGTGACCGACCATAAAACACAATTTTTCACACACTTTTCCAAAAAGAAAGAAAAAAAAGGGTTACTAATGACACATCATTTGGATATTTTCATGTACCTTGGAAACAAAATTGTGATTAAATGGGTTGATATGATTAAGTTACTCACAAGCGAAATAAAAGGGTCTGTCTCCCAGACCACACTGTTTCATGCCCTGGCCGTGGAAAAGTCCATAGCTCGTCCTTCCGATGAATTTCTCCAGCTCTGCTCCGGACGCGTTGACGATCTGCGCGCCCGTCTTGCACAGAACCCAAAACTGCGTCCCCATCGTGGCAGCCACGACCAGAACACAACCAAAGCAAAGCACACCAGCGACAGAGAATATAATTTGCTTTTGACAGCTAGCCATTATGTTTGACAGAGCGCAGCCACAGTAATCAATGGATATCCACAGAATAACGCGCAACGGCGATCTTCCTATAATCCAACACGGGAAAGACATTGTGCTGTTGTCGATTTCCCCTTTAAGTCTAAACGAATGCTATAAAACGATCCCTAATGCTAGGTAGCACATGTTGGCCGAGTAAAGTTGGATCCCAATGTCTTCTCTGGATAGAGTTACGTCTCTCAGCAACCGGGTTGAATTTCTCACTCCATCTCTGGCTGCATTTAATAGGGTTACAGTTTATTATGTGTGGTATAATAGCGGGCTAGCTTAATGTATGAATATGAAATAATATCCCATGTAAATAATAGCCATGCCCGTTTTGACTTAGCCTTCACTATAGGCTTTTCTGACACACAGCATGTCATCAGAGCAAAAATGATGTAGCTTTCAATGCAAAAGGTCATTAATCAGAAAGAGACTCCGGAGAGAAATAAGACATTATTAAATGTGGTAGCAATGATTTATTAAAACTAAAATAGTTAAAAGAGTAAAACAAAATTAAAACATTTCTTTATAAGCAACCCTTATAATTTGAGAAACATAGGCTGTATCCGAAATCGCCCCTATACCCTTAAATAGGGCACTATATATTTGAGGGGACAGCCATTTGTAGTGGTGTCCGAAACCATAGTAGACATTTTTGAGTGCACTCATGCAATCCCACAATGCACCGCAAAAACGAGTGTACAACTGATGCTCAAAGGCTAGAGAATACCCATAATGCACTGTAAGAGTCGCACGCCTCATGATGGCACCCACAGATGAATCATCCACCCATTCATTTTACTAAGCACTCGTCCACGGCATGATACAGAGTAATACAACACAGGAATAAATTCACTGTAAATTGATTATTACTTTTTTTTAACCTATACATTTAACTTATACATGGAATACAATTTCCATGACCGAGTTCAAGATAAATCCTTTAATCTTACTACTGGAGCGGCCAGTTTGCCCGTTTCAAATGATTATTAAACTGCAAGCACAAACTATGCAGAAGCGGCAGTCCTTCCGGTGCCCTCAGTGGGTTAGCATGATTTGACCAAGTACAACATGTTCCTGGATCAACATCCTTGTTGATCCTGGAAAATCATTCCAATCAACCAATCAGAATTGAGAGATAACTTTTCAGGAAATGTCAGTTTTAGGCTTACAATCAGGATTAGGTGCTACTACACTATTGTTAATCAGCTATCATTTCCCTCTGGTTTTAGGAATAAATTATGGGTAAGGTTAGGTTTAGGGGTAGGGATTGGGTTAAGTCTGTATTTTTGGACGGTAATGTTGATCCATGTCTTACTTGGCAAAATCACGGCGACCGCCCTCAGTGTCCAAATTCACTCACTTCTTTTCATTCATTCATGCAAGTAAACTGAATTAGTGACCTAATGTAGGGAATAGTGAATGAGGGTGTAGGGGGCAATTTCGGATACAGCCATACTTAAAACTTAATTAATGGACCCTTTTCATGCGTTTCAATTGCCAATGGTGTATTATATCACCTCTGCATCAAATTACAAAAAATAAAAATAAAAGTTAACACTAACGCAAGGGTGTTTCTAATGCAGCGTCTATGGGAGGGACGGTAAATTTGTTCTCTCTTCTGACTGCCGTTATCAGTCTTTCTCTATTTTTTTCCATTCTTGAAAGTTGTGAAAAAACTACTGTGGAGTTTTGCTGTTTGAGCAAATGGGAATGCAAATTTTTTTTTATTTGTGGTACTCTCCCATTCATTCCTCTGGAAATGTACCCAACTATGACGACGCGTATGCTGCTGAGAAACCCGGAAATGTGAAAAAGGTCTATTTATTGATTGTCATTATGTATTTGGGATATGGAATACAACTTATACAAACAATTTCACACTGAATGAAAAATAAATAAAAGGAAAACATATTAAATTTCATGCTTGAGGAAGTTCGAGTCCTGGCTCTGGGTCCTTTTTGTATATAAGTACAATTAAACACCTCTGTACAGTACATCTTCTGTAGATTTAGTTATGTTTACATACATACAAAATTCTTATCAACTAGTATTGCCACAGCTTTTTTAACTGACTTTTTAATTTTTTCTCAAATAGGTCTTTGTGCATTCTTTTTCCACAGGCTTCAGTCTTCTGCTTTGTTGATTTTTTTTTTTTTTGTGACTTTTCCTACATTACTAATCCACAGTTCTTTAAGAAACTCTTTCTTTACACTACATTGACATTCAGCAAATGATTTTGCACTAATACTTGGTCCATAACTCTCCTCCGGCTGAATTTCACTCTGTGTCTGCGGTCGGAACGCTGCCTCTCTTTGAGAAGGCCTTCGTGATCTGTTGCCTGAATGCACGGCAGATGACAAAGTACAGCACAGGATCGAAGCACAGGTGCAGGATGGCGAGAAGCAGAGTCGACTCTTTAGCCAGGAACAGATTCTTCCTTAATGTGCATTCGGTGATGACCTCTATCTGCGTAAATGTGTACGGCATACGCACAGCATGGTACGGCACGAAGCACACCACGTATGCCAAGGTCACCAATGCGATGTTTATGAAGGCATGTTGGGCACTAGCCTGTTCCTCGGGGTCAGATTCACGCCGAACCCAGAGCCGCTTCAAGACCAGGCCGTTGGACAACAGCACCGCTACCGAGGAGTTGAAGAAGATGGCCATGCCCAGAAACACAGACAATGCGTGCCAATGCTTGGCGAAATCATCTTTTAAGTCTGAACAGGTCAGGCCAACTTTGTATGCAACATTTTCTTTGATAGGGATGGCCATGTTGGGCACGTTGATGAAGAGCACGAGGAACCAGACCACCGAAGACATCAGCACCGCAAAGCCCACTTCCTGCAGTCGGAGCAGCTTGGAGCTGCGGGTGATCTGGAGGTAGCGCTGCACGCTAACAAAAGCTAGAAAGATGACAGACGCGTACATGTTGATGTAGATGAGCGGCGCACTCACTCGGCAGAGAAAGATGGTCAAACTCAGAGAATCATTGCCCAGATCTTTGGCAATCTTGACAGGTAATGCCAACATGAGGAGGAAGTCGGACGTCAGGAGATTGATGAGGTAAAAATTAATGCACTTTTTAGCACTTCGGCTGGTTATGAAGGCCCACAGTGCCACCAGGCTGGCAGCCATTCCAATCAGGAAGATGAGGATGTAGACTGTGGCGAAGGGCACCATGTTGTCGTTGACCACACAGATACTGGCATTCGAACTCTCCATTTTTGGATCTGGACTGTGTAAGCTCTAATAAATAATGTTTTACTTCTCCTTTTCTTCACGTGACTATACCTTCTAAGTCTTGTAAGACCACCGAGAATAATCGAAGCTGATCTGAACACAATTCCGTCTTTCACTTCAGCAGAAAGTAAAAGGTATCAGTAGAGGAAGTGGTAAATCCCCTGTTTAAGCACGCGAAAGCATTTTTCAGTTTGCTCGCATAAGGATATGATGTCACGTATCAGCATCAAATAGAAAATGTTATGTAGCAATCCTGCAAAAGACACAGAAAGAAAAAAAATATAAGTGTTTTTAACTTCTTTTCCTGTTTTTAGTTATGTTTCACAATAATATAGGAACTGTTTATATGAATGTATGCACATGCTGAAGCTGGTTTAGATGTGATGACAACAATGTGCATCAAGGCAACTGCAATTAAAGCATCAATTCAATGACATTATATCCGTTTCTTGATATTTTCTCTGGATCGCCGCACTATTAATGTTTAGTCGGAAAGACGTTGTCCTTTAATATTAAAGACAGCTTCTTCCATGATAGAGAAGCTGGTAACACTTTAAAATAAGGTTATAATTATTAACATTAGTTAACTACATTAGTATTTACATAGTAATTACATAGAATGACATAGAACTAAAAATCCTAAAGCATATATTTTTTAAAAATCTTAATTTTGATTAAATGCATTATTATTATTATTATTATTATTATTATTATTTACAAATGCATTATTAAAATCAAAGGTTATATCTGTTGTTATTATTATTATCATTATTTACAAATACATTATTAAAACCAAAAGTTATATCTGTTAATGTTATTTAATGGCCTTGAACTGACAATGAATAGGTGTATTTTAATTAACTGAAGTTTACTGAATAACTAATGTTTAATGAATAAATACTGTAGGCCTAACTAATGTTTTATAAATGATTAACTAATGTTAGTAAATGCATGAACTAATAGGACCTAAAGTGTTACCAATATGTTTAGATCACCTGACAGTCAAGTTGCTGTTTAGTAAACCATCTTGTCCTCAGTGTCCATAAAAGGAGTGTTTAAGTTGGGTTCCCATTTTGTTTAATTTAATTAAACAGAATACATATACTAACTAACTAACTAACTACCTACCTACCTACCTAACTAACTAAGTAACTAAAAAAATCTGCAACTGTGTCTTTACATAAGTTATCTTAGAAATATTCAAAGTTGCAAGCAGGTATGTTACGGTACAGTACATTAACGTTTCTAGTATCAAATAAAACAGTAGCAAATGAAATTGTGCTCTTGTCATGTCTGCTTCCACACTAATAATGCAGACAGTAAGTTATTCTTAAAATGTATATTGTTTAACAGTTTTGCAGGGTTTTGTGGTAATAACGCCTTAACTGTATGCTTTTCATTTGATATAAATATGACATAAATAACAGCTACAGTTTATTTGAATTTGTTGTGCATTTTTCAACACCTTATTCACTAACAAAGAGACCCCTCAAGAGCCAATACTTTACTCCTCGAACACCTAAAAGCCCATTGCTGATAGTCAAAGTGCTTAGTTTGTCTTTTTCTTAAAGTCGCAAACATTATGATTTCAGGACAAAAATGTAAATTAATGAGCAATGAAGGATATTTGATTTTATTAAAAAGTGAAATAGAACCATTTAAATGAAAAAGAATTTAAAAAAATAAATAAATAGACATATTTCTAAGTTCCACCTGTATTTTATTGT